CGCGTGAATTTTGTACTAAAGTATGTTTAAATTCAAGGGACTTACATTTAACGTCGCTATAGGTAAATGATCGCTACAACCAACGTCGTTATAAATGAAATCCACTGTATTTAATTTGCCAAAATATTGTACAGTAACAATTGAAAAATTCAACAAAATGCATACTTATACATTTATTTAAAAAAAAAAAAACTGCAGGATAGACAAATGTTTCATAAATATAAATTATTATTATTAATTTGAATTCAAAATATTCATAGGTAAGTAATAAAAAAATATTAAAGTATAACTAAATACAGATTATATAACAATTTTTAAACATATCTGCTAGGTATCAATTACAGTTATGATTACTCCAATTACAGAATTTATAAGAAAACAATTTTAATACATACTTACAGGAATAACAAATAAATATTAAAATTGAACATGTGTTTTGTGATATCAAATTGCAGATGCTAAAGATTAATTTTTTAAGGTAATTTGTTAACATAATTTCAAATAAAAAAATAGTAAGCTCTCACACCTGTTACTCAGTGGTGCAGGCAGAGACTACATACTTTCATTAGGCACAATCATTACACAATTCTCTCTTTTTCGTTTCTTTCACATGTTTGAATCTATGCACACATGCTCGTTAGTTAAGGGTATTCTTAATATGGAACATCTCCATTATAACACATGAGGTTTGATTACTATCTATTCTCCCGGCCTCCTACAGTGGAGGGATAAAGCCCTAATAGTCAGACTTGTTGCCATAATGAGAGCATGTCTGGCTCTTACATATATTCCTTAGGGATGGAGGTAAGTGAAAGTCATGTTCATACCCAAACCAGGTAAGAGCGACTATACAGACCCCAAATCCTACAGACCCATTAGCCTCACATCCTTTCTCCAAAAAACGATGGAGGATGTGTGAACGGCATTTGAGGGGGTCGGCGTTAATTACCTTACCGCTGCACGAAACACAACACGCCTATAGCTGATTGGCAAACGGGGTTTGATGCAAAAAATTATACTGTGGCTGTACAAAACTGTAATTCGGACCATGATCACATATGGCTCTCTGGTATGGTGGATCAATACTAATGAAGTCACCACTATAAAAATCTTCATCTACACATACTACAAGCAGCAACTTTAGCTGCCATTAGAGTCAATCTTTTAAGTACCCTAAATCTTTTAAGTAAGAGGTAGAGTCCCTCATGCAGGTATAATTGATAGAGTTTACTCAAAAATTCCACCTTACAAGACAATTACGATCCCAAAACAATTAGTATTCAATCATTCAAAACCCGACCAGCCAGAGGGATTAAACCCAAAGGAGCTTTGTTTCTACTGATGGTTCTAAAACAAAGTCTTTCAGGCGGAATATATGGGTATCATCTAAGCGGTCATAGCAATAGATGCTAGGAAGGTAAAACACTTTTCCATCAGAATACTGACCGACAGTATTGCGGTACTACAAGGTCTGAGTTGTAATGTGGTAAACTCTGGACTGATAATATGAATGCCATCAACAATTAAATGAGGTATATAAGCACAACAATGTGACTCGGCAATGGATTAAGGGACACCGTGCATCCAGAGGCAACGACGTAGCAGATAACCTGGCCAGTAGGGGATCGATTGTGGTCACTATAGGGCTGGAACCAATAATACCAATCCCCTTTGGTTACGTCCGTTTACTGGCATGCAGAAACTTCACTAATCTACACGCTCAGCTTAGGAAAAATCTAGTAGAATATAGACAAGCTAGCGTGGCCCTGCCTGAAGAAATAAACAGTTGTCTAACCAAGGTTCTAATGAGACTGAACAAGCCACAGATCAGGATAGTATTAAGTGCTATCACAGGACATGGCATGGCATGCGTGGGGCAGGAAGAAACGGCGATTCACGGGTTGCTGACATGTCCGGAGGTCACTGCATACAGAGCTGAACATCTCGGCACGCTGGGATCGCCCCCCGAAGTTGCTTGGAGAAGGACTGTTGAACTTCTTCATGGAGATTTCATGGCTCGAATAATCAAATTATTCCTGCCCACACGCAAAATACACGCTTAGACGTGGGGTTGCGGAAAACAGCCCGTCGTAAACTAAACTATCTATTCATATTTAACAAATTTATTTATTCTCTTTTTCAGAGAATCACTTTGTTTATAGCATGCTACAATATAATGGTTAACTATACAATCCAGTTGAGTTAGCCTGTAATGGTAGTGTATCGTAAGATAAATAAATATAAGTCTAGGACATAGAGAAAAGAACGCACGGCTGCAGATGGTCAAGTTGCGTTATTAAGGCTATCGTTAGGGTTGCTCTTCTTAATAAAGGAAAATATTCGATATCGATAAAATGGATTTTAAACATTATGAAAAATACTCAATTAAAATCATAGAAATAATATTTAATCAAAATCAATCAATTACAACGAAAACATTTATTTATTATATTATTATTGATTTTAAAATGAATTAATTTGGTATTTGTTTTTCTAATTAAAGTTTAAGGTTCCTGATTGTTCTTTGTAAAAAATTATAAATAAGCGTCTACATATTTGTAAATTATGCATCTTGATAATTCAATTAAATAATTTGTTGATTCTATTTCAAATTGATTAAAATTAATATCCGGGAATCAATAATACCCAATCAGAGATTTTTAAAGCGACTTTTTAAATTAATTGGTATTATATTTCGAAGACAGCACTTTTGAATCACTCTCGTTGATCGCCTTCTTAATAAAAATTTCACAACGGAGACAAATATTTATTACTGTGGTGGATCCGTAAAATAACTTGTCTTTAGTGTCCTTTTGAAATTGTAAGGCGTTCTGATTTGGTACACCAATCTAACTAATTTAGCTAGGTAACTATAAACTTTAACTAAGAAAAAATACCGACGAACTGAGAAACTCTTCCTTTTTTCTGAAGACGGTTAAAAGTTGATAGGTATTTTTTCACAGTGTGTGAATTGAATAATTTTTTTATTAATTTTAATTTTATTATTTTCGATATCTACTTTCAGCTATTAAAGGTAAGTAAGTACTAATGTTTACGATGAACATACATACAAAGGGATAGAAGCATTAGAATAGTCTAATACTCACAACACAACCGTGTCGTCTTTTACCCGGCCACCGTTTTAGATAGACCTCTGCAGTGGCTCATAATCTGAATTAATCAAAAATACTTTTCGTATTTTTTACTTAGCAATGAAAAGTTACTCCATTCTTTTTGGACATCTGTCGTGGAATGTTTCCCACACCACTTCACAGCGCATGAAAGCATTGCATTGATGCATTATAACTGCATAAAAGTTATAAAAATTTGTATTAATTTAGCGTGCACACAGGTCTAACACTTGGACAATACTAAAATGGTTAATAGTACCATAGCCTATGCATAGGCGACAAAATACTAATAGTTTTCGAGCGTCGGGGCATTGTATACACAGTCAAGTGGCTATATAGGTCTTTGGTTTAGGATGTCCTCATTCATTTTTTCCTATGTATTCATACCACTGAAGCATTTCTTTATTAATCCTTGTAACAACATTGCAAACCACACTTTTCTCAAACCACATAACTTCTCATCCTATCATTCAGAATCACCCCTAATCTTCTTAATAACCACAATTTTACAGCTTTATCTTTACTATCATGATTCCTCCACAACACCCACTCACTAAGATACTGAACCAAAACAGCATTGTTAATTGCCATATGTGCCTTTATTCTCACAATCTCAATTTCCTCAATTAAGTCGAGAATCCCAATTTAGCCCGTTTCTGTGTCCTGCATGCACACTTCATTCATCTATCCTTGACTCTGGATAAGTGCTCAAACAACTCCCCTTTTTTATTTTATATATCGTTTGTATATCTTCCCTTTTAAAAAAAATCACTTTCATCTTACTTGCGTTTACTATCATTTCCCTGTCTTTTAATAACAGATTCAATAAATATAACATACTAATTATAAATGCAATTTATTATTTTAAATTACTAAAAGATGGTAAGCTACAGATGTCCTCCCAAAAATGATGTGTCATACATTATAAAATGGTGTCCATACATTATGAACCTTTTGTCATTAAATTATTGTGGTAGTGAAACATGAATTTATTTTATACCCTTAATTCCTGCTTCAATGCTAAAGGGACTTCAATAATAACTAAAAAAATGATAATATTATAAAACAAGAAATAGATATAGCATCTGCAATTATAAACATTAATATTGATCAAAACACATGTTATTCATAATCATTTATTTACTTTCGTCCATAGCACTAAGTAATCTTACAATCTAAACAAATTGCTTTAACTTATTCCTTGCTTTCACTTGTCCATTACTGAACATAGGGACTCTTGCAAGGAAAGTCACAAATCATAGTCTGAACCACTCATATCTATCGACTACTGCATATCTTATGAGGTTGACATTGCATCTAGTATCAGTAATAATACCAATCTGAACCTTGTGTACTGGCGTAAGAATATACGCCACTCCATATCGTCCCGTGTCGTAAGAGCAAACATAGGAAAAATAAGTCAAGAGAAGGGCAGTGGCAACATTCTGACAACAGTTTAGTAATAAAAATACTTGCAGTTGCCAACCCGCCTCCCAAACTCGGCAAATATGGCAAGCCATGGCAACCCCTAAGATAAATGTCTACTTATTAACTAATTTAATTCTAAGAAGGCTCATCATCTGACTCATCTGACTGATACACCTTCGCGTCGCCGCTAAGCAAGTCATTAATGTTTAACTTAGTGCTTATCTACATACAATCTTCAGTCAAAATTGATAAAATAAAATAGAAAAGATTTATACAAAAATATCATACAAACAGAAATTAAACAAATTCACAACTGATTTCGTTTTTTGATAATAGTCTCCAAAATGTCTCTCAATGGAGTAAATATTTAATATTTCACAAAACACTATTTCAGTAACCAGTAGAAACACCTCTTTTGATAAATCACAACTCACCAAAATATTATTGATATGGAGGGTAGTAATTTGATGGTGGGTATCGTCCCATTACATACTGATTACAATTTTGATTGCCATGATGAATAGGGATGGCTGCTGATGTTGATATCATGGGTGGTGTTGGTTGTGTGACTGGTGCTTTTGCCCGATTATTTGAGTTATAAGATGTACTCTGTGTGCCTGCAAATAAAAAATATTTAGGTAGTTTTTTTTGACTAGATTATCTCACTATGTGTGTGTGAGTCGATTTGAACATTTATTCTCCAAACTGTTATTCCAGCCACTCCACAACACCTCTTTCCCATTTGATATCTATTTTTAAACTCCTGTGTCCTAAATACAGGTACAATTTCAATAAAATCAATTACAGTAAAAGTATTAACACTACTGCAAAACTACTTACTATTTGATGCTATATGCGGCTGGTTATAATAAGTCCTGGGGGGCGGTGGTGGTGGTATAGATATTTGATAGGAAGAGTAGGGTGCTGGAGAAGCCATTATTTGATTCACAGATGCACTGGATGTAATAACATTCACTGCCGAGTTTGTTCTGGTTCCTACATTGGCATCAGAATATGGAACTGTACCAGCCATAGAAACTGTAGGGAAACTCTTCTGACCATTAACATAACGGTTAAAACCATTCATAGCTGGACTATTGCCATTTGTTAATATACTTATTCTGCTTATTTCACTGCTTCGATCACTAGAATGAGGTTTATCAGAGCTTGTATTAGCTGCAAAAAGAAAGTTTACTTAGTAATATAAATACAAATAAAATTTATGCTAAATATTAACTTCTAAACCAAAAGTACAAAGTAACTTACAGTTGCATAAAAGGCTAACTAATGATTGTACCACATCTGCAGCTGATGGCTGGTTGGATCTCCTGCTTAGCGCTGACAAAGTTTGCAAAAGTGTTTCATTTGAATGGCGTGTGGTACTTGAAGTCTACAAAATATATATTAAAGTTGTAGCATTTTAAGGTCCTTTGACATTTAATAAATAAAAAACAATTGCCTCAAGGTCAACAACATTAATACTTACAGACTCAATTACACCCCTTCTAAGGAAACACTCCATAACTTGTAAAAGAAGTTGTCTTGGCACTGTTGACATTCCCTTAAAAATATACACCAATTAATGGGTAAGGTTTGAAAGTTAGTCGCCTGAATTGTGGGTTGTGGTGGGTGGTAGGGAGGAGGGGAGGGGGAGTTGTAGAATCGCCCCACCCTCTTCTGGACGTGTTTAGTTTTTTCATAAATTTTTAAAAATCTCATTTTGAGGTTATGTTTTCATAATGTTTTTGACAGTATAAACCTGATTTATGGGGGAGGGAAGCCCCACGCCACGCAACGTGGTGCAGTCGAGGAAAGTCTGGTCGACGGAGCCCCGCTGTGGCTTATAAAACACGAAGGGGATGGCGGGGTCTATCCGCTCGCTCACTCGACCCCGCCATCCCCTTCTAACCTAACCTGGCCGAGTTGGGGTGCCTTAAGTGCCGAGCTCGCTTCGCTCGCGCTTATAAATTAAAACATCAAAATAATGTTTATAATTACTTTAAATTATAAACCGTTTATATTATATTATAGCTACCACTATTTGTGAAAAAGAATCCAGAGGGGTAGCGAAGTCGCCGAAAAATAGGTGGAGGCAGATAAAAACGTACATTGACGTAAACTCGGACGCAACGGAATGACGCTAAGTATATCGATCGTTGTCAACGAAAGGACTGGTCTAGCGATTCATTTTTAGATGAATGACAGATAAACGTCAAAAACGTTAGAATTTAGTTCTATGTATATTCCATTTCACATTTATTTTGTGATTTACCAACATTTAAAAAAAATAATTAAAAATATTTACGACGCTGCTGCGCAACAATCGCCTAGAGATGCTTCAGATAAACCCTCCTGTCCCCAAATACCGACAGAATTCTCAAAATCAGGCGACTTACTTTCAAACCCAACCCCAATGAATAAAGATGTTTATTCAAAATACTATAAAGTAAATAAAAAATAATTGATATTTACTGAGTTAAATGATGCCTGGTTAAGTTGTGATAAAACATCATTAACTTGTAACTGAGGAACATCCTGAAAAATAAACAATATGTACATTTTAATAACTTTGAAGCAATTTTTAACCTGAAAATATTAAGAAAACCTTTTTATTAATACTTTTGATACATATTTCAAGTTTTTGGTTTTTCGTTGTCAGACAAAAATGCGTATTATCATATAATTTGTATTTAAACATTTTGTTTAATTTCGGCGGGAAAGAAACTCGATTTTTTTTCTCGTATTGATCAATACGAAAAAGATAGATAAGAAAAGATGATAAATAATTGCAAATAAAATTGTATTGTACCTACAAGCACCTTCACGGATCAGATGGTACTCGTATTAAATATATAAAGAAGTGGACAGTAAAATTAGGCTATATATAAAATTTTATTTGCAATTATTTTTCATCTTTTCTCGTCGTGACATAATATGACTATGTTTGTTTCAGAGATTGGGCGCTTTTCCATCGGAGACACGGCACAGGCTACGGTTTTTGGGCAGTACTAAAGCAGTACAGACTACTTCTGCAACACGTAAAAATGGTCTCGTAAGTCGTCGTATTTGTTTGTTATATCTCTTAAATTTAAGAGGAAAATATAATCAATGCAGAGATGTCAAATTTTGAATTCATCCATATCACTGACTACTATAAATGGACTGGCTATTCACCGTGACATAATGAGGCGATTTGGTTTTCGCCATTTTGGCACTGACAGCAGAAGTGAGCGTCCACGGAACTAATAATAGAGATAACACAGTGTGATAAAATATATCTATAAAAATTCGATACCAGGCTCACCCGTAACGTCCAGTCTATTTGTTTCATATTAATATAATGCCATGTCAATCATTAATCAATGTCATCAAAGTTTACCAGCTGGAAGAAGGTAACCAGGCAGTGTGACAACTGGAGGAAGATTGTGGAGGAGGCCAAAACCCACAAAGGGTTGTAGCGCCAACGGAAGTAAGAAGTATTAACATAATGTCATACAATAAATAAATGTATCAATTAATACCTAGGGCTTAGGTCTATCTTATTTTTATTCGTAACTACAGAACGAATTTTGCTCCGGGTGTCAACATTGGGTGTGAATGTTGGTTCATTCGCTAAGCTTAAATATTCAATTAGTACTGGAAAATATAAGTGTCTTTGCAAGTAGTATCCCACACTTAAGTTTTATCTCTCTCCCAGACATCCAGAGTCATACCGGCGAGTCTCTTATCATCGGCTCTAAATATTCTGCAAAGCTCTAAAACCAAGGGAACATTTATAGAGAAACGAGCTCGTCAGATGACATCGTTAAAAGAACTGTGAAGGAGCAACATTATATTAAAGAATACCATATTATTATTACAGGGTTATTAAACGTATAAAAAACTGTATTGAGGGTGGATTCACCGAAATACCATGTTACACTCGAGTAACTAACTCTCAAATAATTTTACTCTTAAGTATTACTCTCAAATAACTTCGTTTGCGTATTTCTAACACAAACGTGGAAGTGCCAAAACTGGGTATTATTACTCTAGGGTTTGTGAATCAATAACAACAGTAACATTTGATAATTAACTGTTGTTGGCGACTTTAGTTGTTAACAGATATGGGTAGAAAAGAATATCGATAAGTATTATAGACAAGGAACTCCTACCCTATTGAATTTTATTGTTAATCAAAACTGAGTAGGGGAGAATCGGATAATACCGTGCGTGTGATAATTCCGTGCATCAATATAATGCAACAAAGCTTGTAGAACTACAAGCTTTTTTGCATTATATTGATGCACGGAATCTCCGTCGGACCCTGGACACACCGCCAGTTTGCTCCGTGCAGCGACAGTACAACATTGCGTCGTGAAAGTTTTTACTTGTGGTCCTTATACTTTTGCGAATATTTTTGACAAGAGATAGCTATTTCTGGATTTATATTGTAATACATTGTTTTCTTATATTCTAATGCTTACATACATATTGTAGAATTAATGCCCAAATGGATTTGAATATACAATTAACTTTACTGTATTATTTTGAGGTTATAAAATGAAATGATCGAGTTTGTTAATTCCGCGCACAGGGCGCTGTATTGTCAATCGGGGCGCGAAATTGTAATCTATGAAAATTATGAATCAGTTGTGTTTTTTTTTTCGCTTTAGATGGATAAATCTATGTAGAAAAAAAGAAGTGGAATCCAGAAAAAATGGGGGCTGCTCTAGAGGCTATACGGAACGGTAGCAAAATAAATACAGCTGCTAAAATCTTTGATGTCCCGGATTCCACAATTAGGGATCGATTAAGGTTGGGAAAAATTATTGATTAAGATTGGGAGAACAGCAGCTAGGAGAAAAACACGAAAGCGACAAGTAAAGCAAATGATGACTGAAAAAGACAAGAATTTTAAAGAGAAAAAACAAAGTAAAGGAAAGTCTGTTAAAAGGAAAGTTTTGAACTGCAGCGAAAATAGTGAGGATGAAGACTATCTAAAAAACAAAAAGACAAAGCTCGCAAAAGAAAGGAAAAGACCTAAAGTTAGTTCAAAGAAATGTATCAACAGCAGTAAAGATAGTGAGGATGATATTCCTATCGCTCAGTTGTGCAATGATGATGAAGAATATGATGTGGAGAATCGTGATATTTGCGCAGTGTGTCAACAATTTGGTCGTGGTAGAAGAATTGGATACATAAAAAATGTAGCGGAAAATAGTCTCCCGAAAATTTCTTAGGTGATTTTTGCATTGATTAAAACTATATTTTAAATTGATTAAAACTATATTTTAAAACTATATTTACGGATTTTATCGCGTTTAATCGACTATTTTAACTTAGTTTTTAATTCCCGACGTTTCGAGTGCTTTACAGCAACCATGGTCACGGGGGGGGGGGTACTCACGGGGGGACGTGGGGGAGGATTCCCCCCGTATTTGGTATTGCTGAGACAGACTTGTAATTTCATTTAAAGATTTACTAATTTTAATACTTAAAATAATTAATATCTATAAGTTTTGTCGACCTAAATAATTTAAGTTTCTGTTATTATTTCGTTATATTTTATATTGTTTTAAAATAGTATTTCAATTAAAATAAAAAATACCTTAAAATATTTATTTTTACTAAGGTTAGTTACTAATAGAAATTCACGATATTATTTCGGGCACGGTTTTATCAAACCTCGGCACGATATTATCCCACCAATCTGATAATACCACGCTCTCCCGTTTTTTTAAATATCACAATAATTACTTTCCGTTCATCTTTTAAACGATTTTGCCATGCTGTATTTGTAGCTAAATAAATTCTCGACCGCTTAAACGCATTTTTGAATATGTGCATAAAACTCTCCGAAACCGGTCTAAGGTGTTAGAGGTACGGTATTATGCAACTCTCTCATTCCAATTGTGATATTAAGATTAGTAACAAATTTTTGAGTACCTACATTATAAATAGTTGATATTTTTTTAAATATCTGTGAATTCTCTTTTACGTGTGAAATGTTATCCCACTTTCCTTTTGGTAACGATTTTTACAAATTACGCACACTCTCATAGAATTAAAAATAATTCTTATTATGTAACTAAAAGATATTTAACCGTACCGGCGTCGGCGATGGTAAGTGGTAACACGGCGCTGGCTTACCCGGCACCGGCACCGTGATGTTGCCGTGACAGCGAATGAAAAGGCGCCCATTAATAAAAAATTATCCCGCAAATATTAAATTAATTATATGGTAAAAATTCTCGGTAGGTCGGTCACGACATTGACCAGAATTCACTTCTCGGTTTAATCATTCGTTCATTAAAGATGAAACGCAAATTTTGCAAAATTACAGTCATTTTTCTACCCTAACACATACATAACATCCTTGATTTAAGTACATTTTACCGAACGCAGTTATAAGTATTATTATACGTGGTAGAGCCAAGCTGCAGCTATAGTATGGTTGTAGCGTGAATGGGTCGGCTCGACCGGCGAAGGACCACGCTCTCACAGAATACCAGAGTGAAATAGCAGCTTAATGCTGCTGTGTTTCGTATGGTGAGTGTAGAGAACCGGAGACCCGTCTTTACTGGAATCGAGGCATTCCATCTTAGTCCTCAGGGGTGACAGCGCATCTGCATTTCAATTCTTAATCGGGGTTAAATGTAGATGTCTATGGGCCACAGCGTCCACTTACCAAAAGGAGGACTGTGTGTTCGTTTATCACCCTTATTCTATATAAAAAAAGTGTCAACATGTGGTATTGATACTTATAACTCAAACCCAAACCCAAAAACTCTAATCGCACTATTAATCTCATGGCTGTTAATACGGGTAACTGATCTAGAGTAACCGACTAACAGTACCTATGTGCCCCTTTCAGATTGAAGAGGGTGTTTTTATATATTGTATTATTTTTGGTGATCATGTCACTTCTAAACAACTTGACCGATTTAGAACATATTCATTTTATATACTTATTTTATTAACACAATGGTTAATAGATAGCCATTAACCATTGTGCTAGTATATACAATACAATGGAACAAATCGATCACAAACCACAGTATATTATGTTTATTTAGTGTCAAATGAGTATAAAGTAGTGTAGATGATGATGGTAATGAGTTACCCGGCAAATCATGCAGGTAATCAAGGGATCCAAGTTGCTGTAGCTCTGTACCAATCTAGGAGTGAGGCCTATGTTCAGCGGTGGATTAGTGACGAGTTGCAATCATGAAGCCATTAAATTAAATTAAATTTGCTTTAAATGTTTGTATGAGCTAGAATAAATATTGACAATTTCTTAATTCTAAGTTTTAGAAACTAAATTTCAAAGAGTAACCTCAATATATTCTTCCAAAATCCCAAAAAGTTCAGGGCTAACAAAAAACTTCAAAATATTTTTTCCACTTTCATACTCCTCCAGTTTCTTCTTGTAAAGTAGAGTTTGATATTCCTCTTCACAAAGTAATTTACCCATTTCTTGCCTGCACAAATCAATCCTACGGAAAAATACATTCTCAATAAATTGAAATTTGTCAAAATTATATTTAAATTAAATAGACATGAATTTGGCATTTTTAATTATTGAAATAAAAATTTAAGAAAAAAGAGAACATTAATATGGCGTATAATAACTACGAAAATTGTTGTAAACGCCGCGCAAATATTTCCGATTTTTACAATATCATTTCATTATTTGTATTAGCGGTGCTCTTAACCATTCTGTGCCTATTATTAAGTTTATTTCTAGTTAACTGCCAATTTTTTTATTAGTATATACATATGAGATTAATTAAATAAATAAAATACTTTAATGAAATCTATTTTTTCGCACAGCATGTTTATTTTCTGGACAGATGGCGGCGCGCTAAGGCTTTTTCGTAATTAAAGCCTTTTTAGCCAATCGAAGAAAGTGATTAAAGCCAAAGCAGTCAATCTAATAGAATTTGGCAGGTATAGAACACTAAAACTTCGCTAAAAATATATAATATTTTTAAGAAAACGCGCTCTGCATCAAAATACTCCTCGCTCAATCATTTATTTTGTGATGAAAGTAAATGTTTGGAAAGCCACAACTAACAATTGATTAATAAGTAGTAACTTATACTATTGATAAATATATATTTCAGATTTATGTCATGCAAACAATATACATAGGTACAAATTGCGATATTTCCAAACCTGATCTCGCGTTGTACACAGTTTTCGCAATGCGCGTCCGCAACATTGGAGTCCTCTGGCTTCCTTAATTTGCTTGGTCCAGCTGAGAACAAATCAATAAGCGCCAAGCCAGATAGAACTTGATGAATAAGACACAATCGATTTTATATACTATATTATAGTTTCAAAAAGTAATCTCTAGTAGGTAAACGACTAATTGACAAATTATTATTTATTGATACTTCATGATTTTTTATGGTTCTTTAGAACATTAACAAACACAGTGCTAGTTTTGATATTAGTTTTTATTATGTTATATGTAATTTTTAAAACAAGGTTGTAATTATAAAAAGACAAATACTAAATGGGAAATAATATTTCGATAGTGGATTTTAAGTATGGGGAGCTTTGCTGGCTAATTAATAAATTATATGTTTTCGCATGAGAACCTTGCTGATTCTGCTACAAGGAAAATACAATCATGTAAAACTTCTGAACAATAGATTTTTTTTTAGACAAACACATGGAAAATTAAATAAATAACAAGTATTTGAATGTCAGTTAATCTAAGGTAAAAATTAATTAAATATTTAATAAACACTTAAAAACATTATAAAAATAAAACACTTAACAGCCAGACTTTATATTGAAAACCTTCTATCTTGGTCTTTTATTTTGATAATTGAGTTTGTCTAATATTCGCTACAGCTAAAGTTTTGCCTGTTTTTACTCAATAAATGTAAATAGTTATATCGCTAAGCATTTAGATAAATTAGTTATTATTAATAAATCTTAAAATTTAATGGGTATATTATAGATTTACTCACCTTCACAAGCATTTGGTGATTTGTGTTTAACTCCACCACTTTTTGATAATACTTGAGTTGGTAATGGTGGTGGAGGCCTGCTTGCATCAAACCTTAAATCATATTTAATATAGTTTTATTCCTATGTCCAATATAGAAATGTACATAAATGTGACTATACTTACATAACTGGCAGAGGCGGCGGAGGATGGTCCATGGAGAAAACCATGGTAGTAGTCTGTGGTGGTGGGGGTGGTGCTGAAAAATTATGTGTCAAACTACAAAAGTTATAATTCGAAATAAAATTAATTATGTGTTACCAATTTCATAACTTTTCATTATTATATTATTAGTGTTGAATCAGTCAGTTTATATTTAAATTGTGCTAAAACACTTCTAACACTAGCAACAGCCAGCTATAACAATGCAAATTCTATACTGTAATTAGTGTGTTCCAAAATGATAATCTATAATTGCAATTATGTAAATAATTTCTTTGATTGACAAGAAAACTCTATGTATTTTAATTATTTATTAATTGAAACTTAACAATAAGGTTGGGTTCGCAACTAACAACTCTGCTACTTTTTTCAACCATCATGGTCTATAATTGTGTGTCTTGTGCCTTGCACATGCCTTTTGTTGCGCTTTTTGTTGTGTTGGCTTTTTGTTGTGCCCTTTTCCTAAATGCTAACAGTTTTATTTTTATTTTTAAGTTGTTATAAGTGTGTTTTTTTATATAAGTAAAGTATGTATTTTCATAAGTGTTGGAACCTGTGATTAGTGTAATAAGTTAAGTTTATTCTATTCCACCTATGTCTTTGGCGTTTACTGAAAATCAGTAGTTGTAGTTACCACTATGTGGTTTCTATAACATTTCACTGAGTAGAGGCCTTTTTAGTTCATTCCATTAAATAATTATGTTATGTTAATTTGTGTATATGTTTGGAACTAAATAAATTATATTATTATTATTATTATTGTGGGGTATCTATATAGTTTTCTCATCTGGTTGGGTTCTATAAATATATAATTATATGAAAATGAAAAGATAAATATACATAAATATCAATAACATAAAATAAATATAAAAGTACATAAATAAATAAAAGCCCAACCAGATGGAGGCTCTCGGCAGGGGAGACCAAACGGCCGAGGGTTAGGGGGAAAGGGAAAGAAACCGGCGGACGATGCGGGCGGTATCGAGGAGCACCGCCTTCTGCATTTGAACCTGGAGCGGTCCGACACGTAGTCCCAGCCGCCTCAGATGACCCGAGAGGCTGACTGGGATTAGCCCGTTTGCAGAGACGACTACAGGAATAATTTCGGTCGGCAGACCAACCCACATGTCGGTCACCTCGTGAGCCAGGTCCAGATATTTTGTTTGCTTGTCTGTTTCGGCTTTCACGAGGTTCTCGTCATACGGAATGGTAATGTCGACCAAAAATATCCTTGACTGTGCCCGGTCCATCAGCACAATATCAGGCTTATTCACAAGAATAGTCCTGTCTGTGATGATGGCCCGGTCCCAATAGAGCCTGGCGCGATCATTTTCGAGCACGGCTTCCGGCAAGTACTTGTAATACGGCAATTTCCGATCCACGAGACCGTATTTCAGAGCGAGCTCCTGGTGTAGAATTCTGGCTACTAGGTTGTGTCTGTGCAAGTACTCAGAGTTAGAAAGCGCCGAACAACCGGAGATAACATAAGCCTAAGTGACTCACCGGGATGGCGACAAGCTCGACAGATGTCGACGGTGCCATCCTTTAGGATGTATCTCCGATAGTTGTTGGTTAGGATGTATCTCCGATAGTTGTTGGTTATTATTATTATTATTATTATAACAGGAGTGGCAAACCTTTACGTATCAAAATGCCATTTTCCTAAGGAAATTTTTAATTAGGTAATAGCCATGCCATAAAATAATTTTGACTTTGTGATTATTGGGAAAATAATACCTAGTACTAAATACTATCGACTCAAAAGTCTTTATTTACTAAAAATAAAAATAGTTTGGAGTAAGTTTTAGTGAGTTGTATAATAATAAATATTTCATTGATTATAACTTCTTTTACGTATTTTATCGCGTTTAATTTGTTTTATTTTGAATACTCAACGTTTCGGGTGTTTTCCAGCACCCATGGTCACAGGGGACTGATGTGACTGACGTCCTGATGTTAGTATTAACCCGGAGTACCTTCAGCTTTTTAATTATTGTTTTTGGTCAATAATTAAAAAGATTATTAGTTTTAATCAATGTGCAATGTTAGAGAATTAGTTTTGATCAACATTTAGTGTTCGCGTAAATGTAAGAAATCATTAAATAAATGTTTCAGTTATACACATAATTCAAATTAAAGTAACATTAGTGTGGCTTCTTTTGTTGCAAATTAAATGACAAATAACTTATATTGGGGTTGTATAATCCTAAATATAACACAAATGAATTTTTGAATACGAAATTGACTATTATGATATTCGTAAACAAACTATACGTTGACTTGTGAAGGGCTGTAATGATGATGATGATGAAATGAACTATGCGTCATAAGCAATAGTAGTCCACGATGTAACTAGGATCACGCGCATTCGTTTGTAATATAATACTTCATAGTGAAGTTTGTGATCAATGATGTACTCAAAATATTGTGACATGTGCCATTGGTTCATCATCACTGGTATAGAATATTATAGAAATATCTATAATTTCTTGCAGTTTAACAATAGAGCAATAGTTGGCTGTCAGATCATTGAACCACTGGACCTCAAGTAGTAAGATGTAGATATTTAAAAAAAAAAACTTTTAACTGCTCTAATTCAGAAAACTTGCTTAGGTTATAAAGTAACTGAACCAGTGCACAATATGTTTTGTGTGTGTGTAACAATAAGCAAAGGCATGCTATCAGGGCTGATGATGAGACGTCATATCGATTAAATGCTTCTTGTTCAGTTAAAAGAAATTACCACAAATAAATAACATTTGCAGCGGAGAGACTGATGTGTTCTAAGCCTAGCTCGACTAAGCTTTTAAATATAGTTCTACTGATTACTTTAGAAACAGAATCAATAATTCTATGTCATTGTAAATATAATAAAATATGAGCAAGTTGTAATATTGTGTTTGTATTTAATATAGTGGAAACATGTATTAGTTGTATTATGATCTCAGCACAAATGTTAGTCCAACTGGGTAGACTATAAAAGCATATTAAATACCACATAGTACTATCATTAAATAGTAGAATGGTGCTGCTGTGTTATTTATAGTGAGTACAGAGAAGCAAAGGTCCTTTTCACTTGCACCAAGGCTTTCAATCTTCAGCAAAAATTACTGTAGTAATTGTGTTTTATTACTGCAGTTTCTTTTGCGAAAGAGACTGCCACTGAAGCTATTTCCTTTCATATACAACATGTAACATAATTAACGCACTTTGAGAAAGTAGTTTGTTCAGAATCGTTTACTGAATCGATTCCTATCATTTTTAATATAGGTAATTTTTATCCCAAAAATAAATAAAACTACGTAAATTACAGTCACACTAAATCTGTACAGTCAAAACAAACTGAAATGGACCGTAACTTAAGGCAATAAGACTTTTAAGAGTGCAGTTTTATTTGTATTATTACTAATTCTGTCATTCAATAAAAATAAAGAAAAATGAACTTTATTTCAAGCATGTTAGTCTTTGCGTTCGTGGATTTTTACTGTGACCACAACATTCTACCGGAATTAGTATAACTAATTTGATGAATAGTCAGTGCATAAAAATGTTTAACTAAAAATTCAGTGTATGTATTATGATTATAACATAATATACTAATTGGGGTGTCTGAGGGTGTGCGTTAATTACGTTACATATTGTATATGCCATATTGATTGTCATTGTAAAATTATGGCCATAAAACATGGCTTTACCTAGGTTTTGTTACAATTATGGCCATAATGTATGGCGGTTATGTGTGGCCTTTGCATAATTGATATTGGTTGCATACCCTAACAGATAAATAAACTTTTACTCAAAACTCTGTGATGTTAATTTTTGACTCTGCATAAATGTGCTCAATTGCAAGGTGTTTTGATTTTGCGTTTTTTTTTAAATAATGTACTTTTTTGTATTTTCTATGAATGTTTAAACTGTAACTGTAAAAAACTTGAAACATAGCATTGAAACTCTATTAGCTTTTAGTAAATAAACCTGCTAACACACCATATAGATTAAAAATACCATTAACAGAATATTCAGCAAAATATTATTGGCAAATATGATGCCCATGTGTACAAACATTTAATTAAGATTTATAGGGGAGAAGTTTTTGTATGGTTTTAAAATTAAAATTTATTTAATTTAAAACAATAAGAATAAGAGACCTATCTCATTAGGATGCCATGGCATCGACGCCGGCAATGCTGCCATGGCTACTGTTGGCGTCCATGAGACACCAAAACTAGTCGCTAAAGCCGATGTCAGACGAAATTAGTAGCGCTTGTTCATGCAACCACAATGGATGTCAAAGAGATCGTGATCCTCATTCTTTACCGCCGTAAGCAAATAAAACGAAAAAAGAAAAAGAAACTATGGGTCCACCCTTTTATTGCCGATCAAATGAGAAGTGGCATTTTTTACAAATTATATGACAACTTATGAAAATATCCTAACAAATTTTTTAATTACGTGAGGATGTCTGTGCTATCATTTGATGAATTACTCACTACACACACACTACACAGCGTGGCGCCGCTGCCTCAAGCAAGCGGGCGGGTTCGAACTGGCATCGCCACCAAAATGGCGTCGACGCCAAGCCGTCGCCAAGTGAGGTAAGGTTAAATACATTCTAATAGAATTCAATATGCTATAATTGGTGACGCTGCCGGCGTCAATGCCATGGCATCCTAATGAGATAGGACTCTAATACTAACCTGTGTATACAGGTGCAGTGGTCCTTGTCACAGTTGCTGATGGAACAGTTGGAGGAGGTGGTGGAGGAGGAGGAGGAGGGTGTTGGATTGGTATGGAAGGCATTACTGACATTGACATGATTGGTATTGTTGGGATTGGTGGTGGTGCAGGATGTGCAGGTCGAGTAGATGGGGGTGGTGGTACTGAGGGAGGAAGAGGTGCTGGTGCCAGAGAGGCCAATGACGGCATTGAAGTTGGTGTTGCATAAGAGTCTCTAATAAACATAGCTATTTGAGGTATTGTTTCTACATTTGATGAAGATGACATAGCAGCATGGCGTTCTGCAAGTACTCGAGGTATTTGGCCAGTTGTAAGAAATAAATTTTCTTCTTCCCTAGTTGTATGAAGATAAGTACAATCTTCTCGTGTGCAGCCAGTTCTATTTTGATAATCGTGGCAAAATTTTAGAATTTTTTTCATTTCCTCAACGTCAAGTTCATGACGAAATTTACATTTTGCATTTTTCGAACATGTCCCCCATACATAATTACGACAGATTTGTTTAGGTTGGTCACTGGTTTGCTCCCTTTCTGGTTCAGTCTGCAATTCAGATGGCGGCCGAGGCTGAGCGGGTAGCGGAGGCTGACGGCCATTTTGATCGCCACGATTGCTCATTGGCTACGAATTCCTAAAAGTGGGGTCTTATGATAATACATAGTTACATAGTTATTAATTTATTAACACATTTATTGCCAAAATTATATACTCCGAGGCAAAGAAAATAATTGTTACCTGCACTTATAGCTGACAGATAGTTTTATGGTTTTTACTAACCTGAACTTATAGCAGATTAAAATGAAGAGTACTGGACTTAACATCTAAACCACAAATAAATCAATCTAAAAACTTTAAAAGCGAGAAATGAGCACCATGCCTATTAATTATACTGTCATCTTATTAGAAATTATATGCCTTTTTCTTCGTGTCCTGAAATCGTAAACGAGACAAAAAGAAACAAACAAGATGGCCGACACAGTGAAGATGCCAGTGTTGCCAACTCCGATTTTCAAATAGGCGTAGGCCAGATTCGTTGACAGAGGATGCGTTTTATCATTACCTGTAGCTACGCGAGCGCTGTTGTGGGGAGTTTTTGAACTGTTATTTACTGCATACATATTGGGTGCGTTTGGCAGAAAAAAGCGCTAGCAAGCGCTTATAAGCGCTAAAATAGTTTTCGGCCAGGACACGATTGCTATTTCAGTAGCGCTGACACAATCCGCCATTTTGCTTATTTAATTTGTTTGTTTTGAAGTAGAGTTTATAAGTTGTTTTGTGCAATATTAGTTTTAAGTAATATAATGACATGAATAAACATATACATGCTATTAAAAACTCATGATTGGTAAGTTTTTAATATAAATACTTTACAAACATATATTTAAATTAGGTTAGATTCCCCGGTTAAAACTAACATCGTGTCCTGGAGGAAAATAGCTACTTACGATTTGACAGCGCTTACCGCTTACGATCGCCATTTTGCTTACAAGCGCTTGCTAGCGCTTTTTTCTGCCAAACGCACCCAACGACAATATTTTCAACTATTTTCCAATTGGAGATAATCCTCCTTAAGTCTATACTCCATGCCATGGAGGTTAGGTGGCACTCCATATTCCTTAATATAAACCATAGATAAGCTAATATGCAACGTTAGGAATCTCCTTGCCCACGGGTGGTAATCTCTATACAAATATTCCTAGCCTTATGTCTATGGTCCTCAAAAATCGATGTTGACAGATACTGACTACAATTTATGGAGTGTAGAAGTAAGGAGTACAGACTGTGTATTAAAAAGTGTCCATAAAAACCTTTAAATAAGGGTGGCGCCGCTATATCTACGGGGTAAATTTAAAAGAACGCACCGAAAAATATAAGTGGGATAGACGACTTTTTCGAGAATATATTTACTAAATAAAATTATTTTCGATTTTAGAGCTACTGATCAGTTTACCAGCACACTGAAATTGGTGACAACTGCTAAGTTCATTTCATCCCAGTAGCTATTCCAGCGCTGTTGTGGAGAGTTTTTGAGCTGTTATTTACTGCTTACAGATGACCACTTTTTCAACTATTCTACTATGGGAGTTGGTACTCCTTACTTCTACACTCCATACTACAAATGTATAAAAATATGTACTATAGTCAACCAAATCAAACCAAAAAATACCTTTTGACGTTTCACATTAATCATTCCGCAATAACTTCGCACAAGCGTACTCATACGATTTACAACAACCTTTTACCTAAATCCTTTGAGTATTAAACCAAAGGAGACGGCATCGCAAGGCATACCCCTCTGTAAAAGGTACGAGAGTCCGACTCATACTCGTTATATAAAACTAGTTGCTCCGCGTCGTGCATCATTCCGAAATGATCGTGCCAGTAAATCGAGCTCCGACAAAATGCCGAATTGCAGTGTATTTACATGAAAAAAACAATCAAACGTCAAGTATCATCATCATCATCATCATCATCATTACAGCCCTTCACAAGTCCACTGCTGAACATAGGCCTCCCCCAAGTAATGCCACAAAGCACGGTCCTGAGCCACCTGCATCAATCGACTTCCTGCATGTCTTACCAGGTCGTCACTCCATCTAGTGGGGGGTCGCCCTACACTACGCCTACCGGTACGAGGCTGCCACTCGAGAACCTTTCTTCCCCATCGGTTATCGGTTCTTCGAGCTATATGGCCGGCCCATTGCCACTTCAGCTTACTAATCCGTTGGGCTATGTCGGTCACTCTGGTTTTACTGCGGATATCCTCATTTCTGAGTCTATCACGCAGAGAAACTCCGAGCATAGCCCTCTCCATAGCTCGCTGAGCGACCTTAAGCGTCCTCATACGGCCAGCAGTGAAGGACCACGTCTCAGATCCGTAAGTCATCACTGGCAACACGCACTGGTTGTACAATCTAGTTTTTAGAGATTGAGGTATACCTGACGAAAAGATATGCCGTAATTTCCCGAACGCTGCCCAGCCGAGTTGAATCCGTCGATTGACCTCTCGGTCGAAGTTGGACTTACCTAGTCGGACTATTTGTCCCAGGTAAACGTATTCGTCAACAACTTCGAGCATAGTGCTCCCAACAACTACCGGCATAGGTGTGACATGGACATTGAACATGATCTTTGTTTTGTCCATGTTCATCTTAAGACCTATCCGTTGGGAGGCACTATTGAGGTCATTGAGCATAGTGCTTAAGTCCTCCAGCGATTCTGCCATAAGGACTATATCGTCGGCAAATCGAAGGTGAGTGATGTACTCGCCATTGATGTCAATACCGTATCCTTTCCAGTCCAGTAGCTTGAAAACGTCTTCCAATGCAGCGGTGAAGAGTTTCGGGGATATAACGTCACCCTGTCTTACACCTCTCTGCAGTTGGATAGGTTTCGAGCTCTGGTTCTGTACTCGGATAGCCATCGTAGCCCTACTGTACAAACACTTCAGCACTTCGATATACCGACAGTCAACTTGGCACCGCTGAAGGGACTGTAGCACCGCCCAAATTTCGACGGAATCAAAGGCTTTCTCATAGTCCACATACGCCAGGCAAAGTGGCAGATTGTACTCTTCAGTCTTCTGTACAATCTGCCGCAGGGTATGTATGTGGTCTATGGTACTGAAGCCTTTTCGGAAACCGGCTTGTTCGGGAGGCTGGAAGTCGTCAAGTCTGCGTGCGAGACGATTCGTAATGACTCTCGAAAACAGCACGTAGACGCGGCTCAGAAGGGAAATCGGTCTGTAGTTCTTTAAGAGAGCGTTGTCGCCTTTCTTAAAGAACAAGACCACCGCACTTCTGCTCCACGCCTCTGGAGTAGTGCCACCATGGAGGACGGAATTGAAGAGCTTCTGAAGGACTTCAAGTACCGGTGTTCCACCCGCTTTCAGAAGCTCCGCTGTAATTCCATCCTCGCCTGGGGCCCTGCCGTTTTTAAGGTGCTGGAGAGCCATTCTAATCTCGCTTAGACTGACGTCCGGGATATCATCGGAATAGTGTCGGATAAGACTTGCTCTTGGATCGTTACTCACACTTGCGTGTGGCTCCAACGATGATGTGTACAGCTGCCCATAGAACCTCTCAAAATGCCGTGTAGTGGCAGTTAAGAATATCCACTACCCCATATCTTCCCGTGGGTGTCGTAAGAGGCGACAGAGGGAGACAGGCAGGAGATGGGCAGCAGCGTCTTCCTGATGACAACTGTGACGTAATAAAAAACTGCGGTTGCCAACCCGCTCGCCAAGCGTGGCAACTATGGCAAATACCCCCCAATGAATAAATACACAAACAGACGGCCCCCAGTCCCCGGCGGCCCCGCTATTCCTGGCTACGGTGGCGACCATGGTAACGGCGGGGCAGGGGGTGCTAAGAATCTCCGGTGGAGGTTCGGTTGCCACCTACGACGACTCGACCTGGCAACATATAACGCACGCACCCTGAGGACTGACGAGAAGATACTGGAGCTGGAAGAAGAGGTAGACAAGTTGCGCTGGCATATTATTGGATTATCCGAGGTCCGAAGAGAGGGGGAGGACACGGCAATCCTCGAGTCCGGCAACTTGTTCTATCACCGGGAGGGCGACCATCTGTCCCAAGGAGGTGTCGGATTTATCGTCCACAAATCTCTCGTCAACAACGTTGTAAAGATTGGGAGTGTGTCGACGAGGGTCGCGTACCTGATACTCAGAATCACCAAACGGTATTCGCTGAAGGTCATTCAGGTTTACGCACCAACCTCGGCACATCCCGATGAGGAGGTGGAGGAAATGTATGAGGATATTTCCAGAGCCATACATTCCTCCAAAACCTACTACACGGTGTTGATGGGAGACTTCAACGCAAAACTGGGCACAAGAGAAAGCGGTGAGCTGAAGGTAGGGAAATTTGGAGTAGGGCAGCGGAACCGAAGGGGCCAGCAGCTGGCCGACTTTATGGAGAAAGAGGGACTCTTTATGATGAACTCTTTCTTCCAGAAGCGGCCCCACAGGAAGTGGACCTGGTCGAGCCCCGACGGTTCGACAAAAAATGAGATTGACTTCATTATGACGACCAGACGCCAACTGTTCAGTGATGTCTCAGTGATCGCAAGGGTGAAAACTGGCAGCGATCACCGAATGGTTAGAGGCACACTGAACCTAAACGTTAAGTTGGAGAGGTCTCGTCTAATGAAGTCAACGCTCCGTCCCCCTCGTGTTCTAATCCAGAATCCCGAAACCTTTCAGCTCGAGTTACGTAACCGCTTCCAGTGCCTAGAAGATTGCAATGCAG